CTTGGGACACGCGCCAATGGAATGATGCGCAGGAGAACCATACAAGAACGAGGGGCGACAACTACAGGCTCGAACAGGACATGGGGAGTCGGGAACGAAAAGCAGGAGAAAGACGTGCGGGAAACCCACTGTGCTGGGCCCCCCCAGCAGCCCTCGAAAGTGGCGACAGTTTCACAGATCGCAGCCCCCCAGGGATGGCAAGGTCCCATTTGAATCCGCCGCGAGTGCACACTGTGCTGGGCCCCCCAGCAGCCCTCAAAAGTGGCGACAGTTTCACAGATCGCGGCCCCCCAGGGATGGCGAGGTCTAACTTGAATCCGCCGTGGGTACCCACTGTGCTGGGCCCCCCAGCAGGCCCCGAAAGGGGCGACAGTTTCACAGATCGCAGCCCCCCAGGGATGGCGAGGTCCCATTTGAATCCGCCGCGGGTGCAGACTGTGCTGGGCCCCCCAGCAGCCCTCGAAAGTGGCGACAGTTTCACAGATCGCAGCCCCCCAGGGATGGCGAGGTCCCATTTGAATCCGCCGCGGGTGCAGACTGTGCTGGGCCCCCCAGCAGCCTCGAAAGTGGCGACAGTTTCACAGATCGCAGCCCCCCAGGGATGGCGAGGTCCCATTTGAATCCGCCGCGGGTGCAGACTGTGCTGGGCCCCCCAGCAGGCCTCGAAAGTGGCGACAGTTTCACAGATCGCAGCCCCCCAGGGATGGCGAGGTCCCATTTGAATCCGCCGCGGGTGCACACTGTGCTGGGCCCCCCAGCAGCCCTCGAAAGTGGCGACAGTTCCACAGATCGCAGCCCCCCAGGGATGGCGAGGTCCCATTTGAATCCGCCGCGAGTGCACACTGTGCTGGGCCCCCCAGCAGGCCTCGAAAGTGGCGACAGTTTCACAAATCGCAGCCCCCCTGCTGGCACGCAGCGACGAGCGAGGGCAGGGGGGAAGAGAGGGACGGGGGGGGCGGGAAGGAAGGCGCGAGCAGTGCTCTATGCAAAACGAGAACCCAACGCAGGACGCGCGAGCAGTGCTCTATGCAAAACGAGAACCCAACGCAGGAGGGTTGGGAACAAATGCGTTATAAAACCAGGTTTCGCATGAGACCCCCTCAGATTTGTATAAATCCATTGGGTTTGGCTGGTGTAGAAATAAAATGGAGTTTCAAGCGAAACTATGGTTTTTCTGTGTGAAATCAATGTAACAACAATGAAAAGCAGGTTTCGCTTGAGACTCCCTCCGGATTCTACAGCAGCCAAGTTCCATGGATTTAACAAATTCTGAGAGTCTCAAGCGGAACCTGGTTTTCCTTTTTAAAAATTGAAAAGTTCCAAAACAATTTGAATATATATATATATATATATATAAGCTTTAACCCACACAGGTCCAGACCGCTCAAGATCCCCACGCAAGGAATCAATGTCTAATCCGCAACAAAAGGATTCCTTTTGTAATCCGCCACAAGAGGAATCAACTTGTAATCCGCCACAACAGGATTCCCTTTGTAATTCGCCACAAAAGCATTTCTTTTCTGTAATCCGCCACAAAAGGAATCAATGTGTAATCCGCCACAAAAGGACTCCCTTTGTAATTCTCCACAAAAGGATTCCCTTTGTGTTCCGCCACAAAAGGAATCACTTTGTAATCCGCCACAAAGGGATTCCCTTTGTAATTCGCCACAAAAGCATTTCCTGTGTAATCCGCCACAAAAGGAATCAATGTGCAATCCGCCACAAAAGGACTCCCTTTGTAATTCTCCACAAAAGGATTCCCTTTGGAATCCGCCACAAAATGAATCAATGTGTAATCCTCTGCAAATGGATTCCATTTGTAATCCGCCACAAAAGGAATCAATTTGTAAACCTGCCACAAAGGGAATCAATGTGTAATCGGCCACAAAAGGAATCAATATGTAATCCGCCACACAAGAATCAATTTGTAAGCCGCCATAAAAGGAATTGATCTGTAGTCTGCCATAAAGGAGAATCAATTTGTAATCCTTTATAAAAGGACGAAGAAAGAAGGAGGAGGAGTATTAACGCGAAGTAGATGCCATCAAAATGGACCAAGAGGGTGGTCCACGGGAGTCCCATGCCAACTTGTCCCCCCCGAGGGGACTCCCAGAATCCCCCGTTCTCGAGGGATCTCAGGGTCCGTGCCGAGGCCACTTGGGGCGCACTTCGGCCTGGGCCCCAGCCTTCAGGGTCTGCAGCGAGTGGGAGCGAAGGTCGAGGATGTCGGTTCGCAAAGTCCCCCACAGAGGCTGACTTGGGTGAGATAGAACGGGCAATCCGGAATTTCCCAAAGCGAGCATTGAAACATTAAAAAAAAAACACATGCTTTTTCAATATTCCAATGTGTGGTGGATGCGACGGAGAGCCGGGGAATTGAGAAATTGAAAAACGTTAGAGTTTGTTCAATTTTTTAACCTGGGAAGTCCTGGATTGAAATTTCCAATTTTCAATATTTCAATTTGGAAGTTCCTGAGTTGAAATTTCCAATTCTCGACTTTGGGTTCAATTAGATTTCAAGTGTTGAAGATTATTCAAGTTTTCAATAATCGAGTGGCCCCTAACTAGTCTATCAAGTTCATTGTTTGTTCCATGACGGGCCCCGCTTCTGTTCGCCTTTCCCTGCCTCCTTTTCCGCTTTCTGTGCCCCAATTCGTTCCAGGCACGTCCCGCCCGTAGCCCGACCAGCGCTTGCACAAGCTTCGACTCGCTTGCGCCCGCTTGTTTAAGACAAGCCCCCCCGTGGACAGGAAAGGCAGGGGCCAACGTATCGGCGCCATGAAAACATGCTAATATGATGTGCGCGTCGCCCACGGAGGGGCGACGCGCGCGCCGAGAAATCTTACAGCATAAGCCCCATTGCGGGCGCTTTCTGGCCACACCGATCGGGAAACGATACGCTACAATATGGTTGTCCGATCTGTTCGAGTCGGACGGGCGCCGCCAAGGAGGACGCACAGTACTGATATGTCCTCGTGCGTCCCACCATGTGAGGCTCGATGATCAGCGCGTCGCTGGGCTGGGCTGCAGCCTCCCCCGAGCCCACCCCCCCCCTTTCCCCGGGAGCCACCGCCAGGCAGGTCGGGCGTGCGCCCGCGTGCCGCCCTGAGCTCGGCCACGCGCAGAGGGGAGGAGGGGGACGGGGGGGAGGCTTGTTAGGAACGCCCCTGCTTCTGAGAAGGCGCGGGCCTTGTCTGTAGATGTAGGGCGCCTTCTGAGAAGCAGCCTTCTTCTGCCCCCCCCCCCCCTGCCCCCCCTCTGCGCGCCGCCGATGAACTCCGGGCGCGCTTCGGCACTGCTGCTGCCGCCGCCGCTGCTCCCTCGTCAGAGAGATCGACTCTGGTGACAGCGGCAACCACAGTGGCGGTGGATGGCGCGTCCAAACCCGGCGGCGCGAAAACCCAGACTGAGAAGGAGGGAGGATGGAGAAAGAAACGGGGACGGTGAAGGGGCTGATGATGATGACGATGATGATGCTGGTGATGATGATGGTGATGATGATGATGATGATGATGATGATGATGATGATGATGATGACGATCGTGGTGATGATGATGAATTTGAGTGTTCTGATGATGCTGATCATGATGATGATGATGATGATGATGGTGATGATGATGATGATGGTGGGGGTGATGATGATGATGACGATGAAGTTGATGATGGTGATGGTGGCGATGATGAGGATGGGGACGACGATGATGAGGGTGATGCAGATGATGTTGATGCTGATGACGACGATGATGCGAATGCTGCTGAGGATGATGATGATGGGCATGAGGATGTGGAGGATGATGAGAATAATGATGGGGAGGAATATGATGATGAGGATGAGGTTGAGGATCAGGATGATGATGATGATGATGATGTTGTTGTTGATGGTGGTGGTGATGGTGATGGTGATGATAGTGTTGATGGTTGTGGAGATGGTGATGATGATGCTGATCATGGTTATGATGATGATGCTGATGATGTTGATGATGATGATTATGATGACGATGCTGATGATACTAATGCCGCTGATGATGTTGCTGGTGATGGTGATGATAACGATGTTGATGGTGAAGATAATGGTGATGATGGTGATGATGGTGGTGATGATAATGATGATGGTAGTGGTGGTGGTGATGGTGATGGTGATGGTGGTAATGACGGGTGGTGATGGTGACCGTCGTACTGGTGATGCTATTGCTTAAAATGATGGCGAGGAGGATTGGACGGAAGAGAAGGAGGAGGAACATTAGGAGAAAACGAAGGGGGGAGGATGAGGAATGGGACCATACAATGACAAACAGTCTGACCTCTGACACCGCCTTTCGCCCCCCCTCAATATCAATGTTGGTCGTAGGCAAAACGCAACACAAACTTGAAGAGAAAACCTTACAGAGTTCGGCGACTCTGAAGCCCACTTTAAACCTAGGGTAGAGGAGAAGGGAGCACCATGTCGAGCAACAGCGCTTGCCCCTTGACCCGAGGACGGGGTGGGGATGGGGCGGCAAGAGAGGGCAGACGAGGACGCTAACGCGGATGATTCCGAGGCTGAGGAGGAGGAGGAGGAGGAGGAGGAGGAGAAGGAGGGGGAGGAAGAGCAGGAGGAGCAGGAGGAGCAGGAGGAGCAGGAGTCAGCAGAGGCAGGGCGACGACGAGAAAGAGGACGAGAAAGAGGACGAGGAGGAGAAGGAGGAGGAGGAGGAGGAGGAAGAGGAGGAGCAGGAGGAGGAAGAGGAGGGGGAGGCGTCCTGGAGCGGTGCTCCAGCAGTCGCCCGGCATTAATTTGATCAGCCCCCCAGGGCCGACCGGCCCGGCCCTGGGGCGGAAGTGTTGCGTTCGACGAACTCTCAAGTAGACTATGGCCATCAGGAGCCAGGAACCAGGAACCCCGAGGAGGCGAGAGAGAGCAGCAGCAGGGGAGGGAGAAGCAGATAGCAGCAGCAGCAGCAACAGCAGCAGCAGCAGGAGGCGCCCCTGCTGGCGCCCAGCGCGCCCGGGCCCGGGCCCAGGTCGGCGTCGAGCTGGACGAGGAGCGGCAGGGTCTGGGCGACGGGCGTGACACGGACTCCTCCTCGCGCGAGCGCGGAGGGCGGCGCGGAGGGCGGCGCGGAGGCCGACGGCGACCACGGCAACGACGAGGGCGGCGGCGGCGGCTGCGGCGGCGAAGGCGAAGGGTGCGAAGGCGTCGACGGCGACAGCGGTGGCGGCGGCGAAGGTGAGGACGGGTCGAAGATGACGAAGGGTCGAAGGCGGCGAAGGCGGTTGCCACGGCGGCACGAAGATGACGGTGTAAGGTCGACGGCGGTGCCGCCTTCGTCGTCTTTCTTTTTATGTCTCTTCTTCTTCTTCTTCGTCGTCGTCGTCGACGTCCAAATCAATGCCCAGGACTCCGTTACCACAGAAGCGCTGCAGAAGCCAGTGACACGACGCTGCCCGCCGCGGCCAGAGGTCGCGGACGCTGCAGGCCTCCAGGGGTCCAAGAACAGCCAGCAGCACCCGACAGTGCTCCACAGCCTCGATCTCCCCGCCATCGCCGCCGCCGACCCTCGCCGTCGCCGTCGCCGTCGCCGTCGCCGTTGTCGCCGTCCTCTTCCTGGTGCGCTGGCCTCGGGCGGCGCCCCCCCCCGCGCCGCGCGCGCAGCTGCGCCACGGCGCAGCCGCCGCCGTCCCGGACATCCAGCGGATCAGTTTTTGCTCAGCCCGCGGGCCCCGGAGGTCCCGAGATTTCCCCTCTCTGGTTGATGCCAAAGTGGGTTCAGCCTAAAGGGGGTGATTCAATAGACTTGGGGCAATTCTATTGCAAATTCCCTTCGCCAGAGAATTGTTTAGCATTGCTTTTGCAACTAAGGCATTGCACGTAAAAGTCGATCGTATGATTAAGAAACCTTTCGAAAAGCTGGGTCAGCAATTCGTAACCAAGGTACCAGAAAGCTGTCCCAGTTTCTTGAGCACGTTCGCACCTCCACCATTAACAACAGAAGCTGGCCCAGGCTTGTTTGACGAAGCTTCCGGAAAGCTGGCCCAGATGTCTTAAATTGTGATTTTAATGATCATGTTTTCTGCTGTACTGCATGCTCCGAACCTGCTGCAACCGCACAAATCTATTGCACCGGATCTATTGCACCACCCCCTTCAGCTGGACCCCAATTTGCGTCAACCAGACCCTCGGGGGCAGTGTTCCGCCCATGACCTGCGCAACACCAGCGCCGCGGAGGCCGAAATCGCAGGGAACAAATTGTTCTGGGCAGGCAAGAACCGCATCGCCCCCGGAATTCCGCCGATCTGTTTTTTCAATCCGCGGCCCCAGAGCTCCCGCCCCGGGCCCCTCCCTGGGGATACTGTTGCACCCCAGATCCGTTTTTGATGCCCCCGAGGCCCGATCGCTGGCCCCAGGAGGCAGGAACCGAGGGAACAACGCCGGCTGAAGAGATCATCTCGTCCGAGGCTTGGGCCCGATGGATGGGGCCGCCGCCGCCGGCACTCCACCGTCTTTTCTCCCGCGCCTTCGAAACAGTTGTTCCAGCTTTTTAGCGCCACGACTGCGAACGAGTATGATGACATTCGCAGGCGCCTGTGCTGGTTCCCATTGGCTTTCCTCCTCCTCCCCAAATCAACTGCGCTTGGGAACGATATGGCGCCGCGCCGTTTGTTCTCGACGCGCCCAAGTGGTCGACGCCAACACCACAGGAAAACCCACAGCAAGCCCTGCGTCCCGCGTTCCCAGTAGACGAAGCCGGCACCGCGGCAAACCCCAGGGCGAGCCCACTGCGCCCGAGGCGGGGTCTGCCCTGGTGGCCACGGCGCCCCCACCCCCCAAGTCGCAAGGCCGCGCGTGGGAACTTCCCCGTCGCAGCGCGGCAGAAGCAGCCCGCGCGCTCGAGCTGCCGGGGGCGCTCGGCGGACGAATCGGCCGGCTGCGAGCGGAAGACAGGGCGGGGCGCAGCCGCGCGTGGTAACCAACGAGCGGCGCGGCGACCCCGTCTGAGAAGGAGCACGCAGCCGGAGCGAAGCCGCCGCCGCCGCAGTCGCGCCCCCCGGCCGCGCAGGACGGCGTGCGTCGCTTCGCCTGCGGCGCGGGCCGCGGCGCCTTCCTCCGCCCGGGGGCCACAAAGGCGGCGGCGCGCGCGGTGGGCCCGCGGGGCCGCCGGCCCGCGGGGCGACGCGCCTGGCCGGCGGCGGCGGCCTCTCGCCAGGGAGGGGAAAACCATGCAGAGACAGCAAGAATCGCCGATGGCCAGGAACGTATGGAAGATATGGGAAGGGGATGGGGAAGGCGACAGTCCAGAACATCTGGGAAGATGTGGGGAGTCCTTGGATGTGTGTCTATTTGCTGTTTGTGTGTGTGTGTGTCCCTGGACCCTTTCATCTCGCCAGGAGGGAGGCGGGTCCCGAGGGAAACGGGTCCTGGGTTTTCATCGCCGCGCTCGAGCCCCTGGCGTCGAGCAGTGGCGAAGCGTCTTGGCTTGCCCATAGGCCCACCAAATAATGTTCTAAAAACCTGTCGTGGCTGGCACGACGTGTTCAAAGAACACGTCTGGCTGAGACTGTCTTGTTTCAAGACGTCGGCTTGATGTTCTAAGAACTTCGTTCTTTCTCTGAGAATATTCTTTCGTTTCAAGAACACGTCGTGGTAACTGGGCCTACAGGAATGCCGGGACGGTCGGTCCCTGCTCAACCTGGGGCTCGCAACGGCCCTCGGGACTGTCAGACAACGGCTCAGGACGAAGACCTTGTCCTGGGGGGTCCTCCGGGTCCAGGGCCCGTTTCAATCAGGACCTGCTGCCTTCGTGCCCAAGCTCTCGGGTTCCAGAAAGGGCCTCGCCTTCGAGGGCCCCAGGAGCTGGCACCTCTTCTCATCGGCAGAGGGTGGCCGGACGCGGCGCCGCCAGCTCTCAGGCGGTGTGTCAGCTACGCGTAGGATTGGTCCCTCGCCAGAGTGACCTGTGGTGCAGGTCCAAGGGGGGGTCCCCCCACCAGCGGCCTGCGCGCTGGGATTTGGCTCCCTCGCGGCCCCCCAAAGCCGCGCATCAAAGGCCACTCTTGCCTCGGGTCACTCCTACGCGTAGCCGTGTGATGTGCTTGTCTCCGTCTTCGCTGACTTCGCATCCGTTGTACTTTTTGGGCGATCTCTTAATTAGGGCGTAAATGCCCACCCTGCTTTTCGAGCTCCTTTCATGCCGATGTCCGCCCTACTTTGCCCTCGCTGTTTCCGCCATACCTTTGCGCAGATCTCCACCCGATGTGTGTTTCCATACTTTTCTTTGTCAGTTTCGAATTCGCCCTCGAGGCAACGTTCGGGTCCGATGTGTTCGGGGTTTTCGGACGTTTTCGCCGGTTCCTGTAGGTTGCTCCGCCTTTGGACGCCTTCCAGCAGCTGCGCCTCGCCGAGAGGCGTATAGGGGTGCCCCGATCCCCCCCTCGACCCCCTCGGGGCAACGGTGTTCGTCGAGGTTTTTCGAGTGCTCGGTGTTGTTGCCTTTTCGTTGGTTCTTAGAGGTTTTCTCGCCTCGGGGTGGTCTCCAACAGCTGCGCCTCGCCGACAGCGATCTGGGGGGCCCGGGTCGTCGCGAAAGGCCGCTGGATAGCTGAGCTATGACCCGACGACCAACCACAGGGCAGGGACAGGCTCAGGGAGGAGATTCGGAATGCATTCACCCCCGATCGCCTATTGATGCCGCCGATGGGGGACCGGATAGCCCACCCCGCCCATGGACGTGCGAGTTCGCCATCGGGGGCCTACGGGGATGTATCGCCCATTCCAGGTCGTCGCTTGCCCCCTTGAGCCGGTGATGTGTTTTTTCAATCCTGTTCTTCGCCCTCGCGATTTCGACCTCTTCGGGGCCCGCCATCCAGCCCCAGGGCCATAACAAATTGTTCCAGTACCCTGGCATCGCTCGGACGTGTGCATTTTTTCGGCGAGCGCCAGCGAGGGGCAGATTGGATCATTTTACGGACAAGTGCACGGGCGAAGTCGACAAAAGCAAGGGGAATGGACGTCTGGATGATGGCGAGGGACGGCAGGCTACCACTGGGGAAGTCGGGGCCTCCCTGGGGACGCGGGCTGAAACAAATCGTCGTCGGATGTCTGGAGCCGTCATTTTTTGTCGGGACCCTTGCGCTCAAGGCCTCGCGGCTTTCCCAGGGTTCCATTCTGGCCCCGTCCGGTGTCCGAGCCCGTCGGGCCGCCAGTCAGGCCCAAGGTCGAGCCCGCTCGGGGGGCCGACTGCGGCTCGGTCCCCACGACCTTGGTCGGAGACGAGCCCGTCTGGCTGCACATGCGGCGGCCGAGCGGGCGCAGACACCGAACGGACTCCGAAGGGAGCCCCGGGGTCGTTCAAGGCCGGGGCCAAGTGAGGAGGTGAGGAGGGGCGGGCCTTCTCAGAAGGCTCGGAAGTCCCCCAGCCTCTTGAGAAGTCTGCTGAGCTTTCCCCGAAGACACGACAGACCTCTCAGAAGGCGCGAGGGCCTCTGAGAAGGCCCGCCGCCTTCTGAGAAGGCCTTCTCCTTCTCACTTCCCCCTCTCGCTCGCCGCCGACAATGGTGGCGCGTCTCCTGGGGTGGCGCGAAGATGATCGCGCTTCGCGCATCGCGGCCTAGGTCGGAGAGCTGCCCTTCTGCAAGGCGGCATCGCGGGGGCGCGAAGGTAACCGCGCGGTGCGCACCGCGTGGCGCGGCGCGGGGGCGCGATGCGCGAAGGTGGGTGACCGAGGTTTCGCCCCTGGGAAGCGACTCGAGCCACGGCGGCGGCGGCACGCCCGACTGCCGGCGACGACGGCGGCGAGGCGGGGTCCCCAGCGACGAGGACGACGGCGGCGCGCCCAGGCAGCGACGACGACGGCGGCGGTGACGGCCGATGCGGCGCGCCCGGGCGGCGGCGGTGGCGGTAGCAGCGGCGTCGTCGTTTCGCATGGTCTGCGGGGTGTCTTGCAGGCCGCCCAGATGGGCCAGGGGTAGCCAGGGTCGGAGGATCGCGCCGCATCGCCGATCATCGGCGATGCAGAGGGACTGAGAGCCCGACTCTCTCCACCCCGACGTCGCCGATGCATCGGCGATGCGGCGCGATCCTCCGACACCGACTGGCCCCACTTGGGCGGCCCCTAGTTCCTGGGGGTCCTCGTCGCAATGGCCGGACGCAGCACGAGAGCTGAAAGGCTGGCCAACCAGGATGGGCCCTGGTCCCCCTTGGGGCGCGAAGATACTACCGCGCTTCGCGCGCCATTGTCTGGGCTAGAGCGGCTGCCCTTCCCCAAAGGGGCGGCGCGAGGTCGCGAAGATTATTGCGCCGCGATGGGCGAAGTTAGGTGACTCGGGAGACCGATTCTGAGCGGATTTTGGTCAGACGATGGCGTAGGCGACGACGGCGGTGGCGACGTTGTTTTTGGACGCCTTGGACCCTCGTCGGGCCGAAGTAGGCGTCTGGAGGCCTCTGGAGGCCTCTCGGGACCTCCGGAGACCTCTGGTGATTTCTGACGGTGACGACGACGACGACAACGACCCTTCTCTGCACCCCCGCCTCCTCGTTGATCTTTGCTGATGACCTTGGGGTGGCTCCAGGTGAAACGTAGCCATGCCCCCAGCTGCATTCGTCCCTCGATCTTCCTTCTCCTCCTCCTCCTCCTCCTCCTCCTCCTCTTCATCATCATCATCATCATCATCATCATCATCATCATCATCATCATCATCATCATCATCATCATCATCATCATCATCATCATCATCATCATCATCCGTCCCTCTTCCTTATAAGTACCTCCCCCTGTCACACCACGTGGCCGTAGGCCTGGCTGGGCGTGTCGCTTGAGTTTTGTTTGCAGTTTGTTATCCTGGAGCTGAAAGGGTCTCAGCAGTTGCAAGGGTGTGGGGCAGATGGTTTCCAAACTGCGGCGCTGGCTTCAGCGCCATCTGCATTCCTTTTCAACCTTTCAAACCGTCACAAGGATCGAGGGCTGGTAGTTTCCAATATGTGGCTCTCGCGTGAGCGCTGTGCATATTCGTTTTGAAAGCTTCGAATAGCCACAGGGATTGAGGGCGAGTGGATTTCAAAATGAGGCTCTCGTTTAGCGTCGCGCGCATTCGCTTCAAGAGTTTGCAAGAGCTACATGGATGGAGGGCGGCTCCTTTGCAACATAGGCCTCTTGCTTCGGAGTTGTTCGTCCTGAAGAGGTGTGATCCGACAGTTCGGAACGTGTGCGACCAAGAACGCGAAGAGGCACGACCATACAATTCGTCGAGGTGTCCAGCGAGAGTCCCGTTTTGAAGAGAAGCCGCCCTCCATCCGCGTAGCTGCTACATGTGTTCAGGCTGCTGGTCTTTGGATTTGAGGACGTCTCCATCGAGAGCCCCATTTTCAAAAAGAGCCATCCTCCAGCCATGTAGCTGTTGCATGCGAATAGCGGAAGTATTTCCACCCTCCTCCTCCTCCTCCTCCTCTTGCTCCTCCCTCCTCCTCCTCCCCTTCCCCCCCTCCTCCTCCTTCTCTTCCTCCTCCTCCTCCTCCTCCTCCTCCTCCTCCTCCTCCTCCTCTTCCCCCTCCTTGCGCCTCCTCCTCCTCCTCATCATCATCACCATCATCATCATCATCATCATCATCATCATCATCATCATCATCATCATCATCATCATCATCATCATCATCATCATCATCATCATCATCATCATCATCATCATCATCATCATCAACATCAGCATCAACATCAACATCAGCATCAACATCAGCATCAACATCATCATTCGAGCTTCGAGCTGCGGACCTTTGTCTCCCAAGGGCTGCGGTCCTCGTCCTTCTCCGCCTCTTCCTCCGCCTTCTCCGCGTCCTCCTCCTCCTCGTCCTCTCCTCCTCCTCTCCTCTCCTCTCCTCTCCTTCCTCTCCTCTCCCATCTTGTGCTCCTCCTCCTCCTGCTTCTGCTCCTCCTCCTTCTCCTCCTCCTCCTCCTCCTCATCTTCCTCCATCCTCCTCGTACCAGGTTGGGCTCACGATCTTAGTTGCAGTGCGATCGGAATCACATCGCGAGCTCATGAGGGAGAGAGCCAACCTACTCATCTCGCTGAGAGGGTTTGTGTACATCTTGCAGCTGTGTGGCGGTGTCTTTGCTTCCGTGGTAAAAGCTGGAAGGAAGCAAGTAAGTTCCTTTTCAAACGGGGAAGGTGCCTGAATGGCAGGCCAGTGGGGTGCTGGTCATTCAAGGGGGCGCTTCTTGTAGTGAAATGGAAGGGCCGCGGGGATTTGCGAGGAGGGGACTTGGAATCGGGAGGATGTGTTGCAGCATCGTTGATGCATCATGTGTTTGCTCTGGTCCTCCTCCTCCTCCTCCTGTTCCTTCTCCTTCCGTAGCCATTTTGGCCCAGGGTGCTCTGCTTGGGAGGTTGCCAGCTTCCCAGCTTTCACAGAAGCTGCCGCTCCAGCGCCAAGTCCTCAGCAATTTCAGGGGAACCGCTCACCGTCGTGCACAGCCGCGCGGCGATTCGAGCTCCTTCCCGATCCTTCACGCTTCCGCCATGTAGCATGGCGGCCCGAAGCCGAAGTATACGAAGTGCACCTCTTGCAAATGCCAGGGGACGTGGCACGGCAAGACCAACTGCTTCGCATGTGACAGGGCGCTCGAGCTCGCCATCGTCCTCCGGGCCCCGTCTCAGCAGCAGAGATGGGGTCTGTAATTTCACCAGGCCGGCATGCCCGGGTGGCACGAATGGTCCATCTGGCCCAAGTCGCGCCGCCGCCACACTGCACAGCCGGGCTCGAACCACCAGCCGCCGCCGTCGGCGCCAGGTGGGGGCGCCCCTGCGGCCGTCCACCAGCCCGCGCCGAGCCCCGCGGAGCTCCTCAAGCTGCTCGAGGCCGCCCTGCCTGCGCAGAAGGGGACCTTCGACAAGCTCGCGGACGCCTTACCCCAGCCGCCGCCGCCGCCGCCGCCGAGGCCCGAGGACCCCAACCTAATCTCCCAGCGCGCGGCCGCGGCGGAGCGAAGGCCAAAAAACTTGCGGAGGCGGCAGTGGAGTCCGAGCGTAAGGCCAGTGTCTGGTACGAGGAGCGCCTGGGCATCTCTTTCCAGGCCGCCGCGGCGCAGCTCAAGACCTCCGAGGCAGCTGCAGCCGCGCTTGCTGTGCTCTCCAAGAAGCAAGAGGCCGCCCCTGCCGCCGCAGCCTCCAAGCAGGAGGCCCGCGGAGGGGCCGCCTTCGACTTCGCGAAGCTGCTTGAGTCCGTTGGCGGGGTCGAGTTCGTGGCTGGTTCGGCTTTCAACGCCACAGGGCTGGACGTCCGGCAGGCCGACCTCGACAAGCGCGGATCACCATCCGCTCGTCTCGCGCTCGCAGTCCAAGTGGCGCCGCACGGAGGACGCCGACACTCCCTGCGCGGGAAGCGCCCATAGCGCCGCTGCGCTTGCCGCCGCCGCCGGGGGCGCAGGCGGGGCGCCGCCGCCCGCAGGCCAAGGGCCTGCCGCCGCGGCCTTGGGTGCCCTCTCGGCCTGGGGGCCTGGATGCGGCTGCTGCTGAGCCCGTGCCTGGTCTGGGCGACGCAGGCTAGTAATTGGCTGATGGGGCGCTAACAGGCCAACGCCCGGGAGCAGTTCGAGGCCAATGCATGTACAAAACCCGGTACAACTTTACTAGAAGCTGGAAGTTCGGAAGAAGTCCTGATACATGTCGGCTGCGGAGTTCCAAATGTGGGGGGTGCGCGTGAACTTTGCGTGAATTGCCGAATGCGTGCGTGGCGAACCGCTTCCGGAATTAGTTCAAACCTGTTCCTGCTTTTCCGAGCGCTGAATCTTAGTTCGAACGCTTGGATGTTCTCGGACGTTTACCAAACTTTGTAAGCCATTTGAACCGTTGCCGATCTCTCCGTGAATTTTTGAATGTGTTTCGAACTCTTGCTTCCCTTGATTCCAGATCTCGAACTTCTGATCCCCCCCGCTCGGTTCCGAGCCCTAACTTTCTCTTTGCATTTGCCCAGGAAAGCCCGTCCCCCCTTCATCAGCCAATCGCAAGCGCAGGCATCGAGGGCCCATCTGAGAGGGCCAAGGCGGAGCGCCCCCTCGCAGCAGCCCGCCGAGGCCGAGAGGGCCCCGAGGCCGACCCTTAGCCCTGCGGAGGCAGAGGGAAGCAGCGCAGCGTACTTAGGGGGGCATCCAGAGGGAGGGGCGCGTGCCTGAGGAATGGCCAAAGCTGCTGGACGCAGGCGACTTCGCGGAGCCGTCGCACTCGCCCCGAGCCCGAGCGGTGGGGAAGGGGCCGGCGACCCTGCGCCCGCCCCCGCGGTGGCAGGGGGGCAGCACCGATTTTATTTTCGGCAATTGTGGCGACGGGGGCCGCGCTCTCCGACCCAGGGATAGCGAAACCCTTGGCCCTCGCAGCGCCGTGCTTGGGCCCGTGCTGGGCTGGAATCTCTGCGCGGTGCTCCACTTGGCGACTCGGGCCCAGCGGGGTCGCTGGAGGGGCGGCGTAGCGCTCGGCGTCGGCGAGCTCCTCGCGGCGGCGCGGCGGCTACTGGCCCCGCTGCAGCGACGGTATCACCTGCGCGTCGGGGCTCGCCCTCGACGGCGCAGGCTGCGACGGCGAGCACCTCGCCCCCGACGGCGCCCGACGCAAACTCGAGAATGCAGTGGCCAGGGCCTGGGCTGATCAGCTCACAGCGTAACTATACACGCGTGACTCTGCATGCCTTCGACGACCCCGAGGCTGCGAGCCCCTTCGATGCCCTGGGCAGAGTTGGAGGCGCAGGGCGAGCGCGGCTGCGGCGGCGGAAGTGGCGACATGCTTCTCGACCGAGCACACGAGCTCCTGTTCAGTCAGGCCGCGGGGGCTGGATCGGACAACTTGACGGTCTCGCCGCCGCCAGCAACCGAGCTGCGCCCACGCCGTCCTGCACGCGGACTCCAGCCTGGAGTAGCGCGCGACGAGACAGCGGGGGGGGGCGGAGCAGCCTCGGCCCCCCCCGTCCCTGGCGCCGATGGAGGCCCCTGGGGCGCTGGTGCCAATAGAGTTTGCACGGCAGCCGACGGGGCCCCCCACTGGCGCGGCGCCAATGGGGGCCCCGCGGCGCGCAGCGGCTGGGGGGGGCAGGGCAGCCTCGCCCCCCCCACCCACCTCTCAGTCCCAGGCGTCGATGGAGGTCCCTGGGACACAGCTGCTCGAGGAGCTTGAACAGCGACATGCGCCGTCGCCAGCCAGGGCAACAACCGGGCAGCCGCCAGGCCCCGCCGGGGAATGCAGACGCCATTGGCCCGATTGAGACCCGTGCACCTGCAGGCGTGCCCCGCAAGATCGCGGCAGACTTCGGCGCCCGGGCTCCCACGCGAGCGCCAAGGACGGAGTGCAGGAGGCGTGGCGCCTGGAGTTCGCCGACGCCCGCAGGCCCGCCCATTCCGCCACCCGGCTGCCCACGCCGACCAAGCCATGGGCCAGCTGGGGCATAGGAAGCCCGCCCCCAAGTTTTCCAGGGGGCCGCTGGACTTTCTCGACTTCCAGGCGGCCACCCTGACCGCGAGAGGGAACCCGCCCACGGTGATCATCATCCACTTGCGCGACGGCCTGGGGGCGGCAGGTCTCGATATCCAGAAGCTCCAGCAGGCGGGCGCCCTCCTGCGAGGACTTCGCGGCGATTGGATCCAGCCGGGCGATTTCGACGCGCCGCCTGCGCAGCTGGCGACAGGCGGCCAGGCGCAGGAGGCGCAGGGGCACATCGTTCGACCCGGCAGCGTCTCCTTCGCCCAGTGCGCAGGCGGCCGCGCGTTGGACAACGGCGCCACCGGAGGGGGTGGCCGCCGCAAGCCCGTCTCCTTCGCGGCCGACGTCGGGGGCGAGTTCAAGTCCCACGTGGGCCCCATCGCCCAATGCGACGCGAAGGGGACTGCAGGGGCCCACGCGCTGGCGCCGACCGCGCCGCAGGGTTTCCCCGCGCCCCCTCAGCGCCGAAGGCGGCCGATCCTAGGGGCGAGAGGTCACGGCGGCGCGCCGAACGCGCGCAGATGCGAGCAGCAGCGCCGCCAGGGAGGCGCCGAACCTGATGCCGACCAGGGGCCAGCCCACGGAATGGACATCCTGCCGCCCACCCTGGGGCCAGCGACGCGGGCAGCGCCGCTGCCGCTGACGCCCCCGCCAACGGCCCCGCCGGCGAGGCGGGGGGGGCCGCCCACGATGAGCTCCTGGTCATTGCTGCTCTGGCTGGGGCAGCACCTGCACGCGAGGGGCCCGGGGGCGCCAGGCCGCGCGAGGCGCCATCAGCCATCGGCTTCAGACTGAAGAGGTGGGGCTGGGCAAACCTGCCAGCTACGTCGCCGAGTCCATCAGCTACCGAGGCATCAAGGGCGAGGCCTGCGCCCGGGCAAGCAGCGCGGCCGCTGGGCGACGCGCCCGGAGCAGCACCTGATCGGGATCGCCCAGATCCCTGAAGAGCAGGCGGGCCGATGCCGTGGACGCGGGCCCCCGCGCAAACCTCTCATCCAGCGACTTCGCGCCCCCCCCCCCCCCCCCTCCAGCGCCTGCGCCGTGGGCGGGTCAGCAGAGCGGCGGGCCGCAGTCTCAGCGCGCGCTGACGCCGCGGCCCGCGGCTGCGACCGACGGCGCCGACGAAAAGCTGCAGGTCGAGGCGCCCATGTCCCGCGCGGCGCCTCAGCGCCATTCTGCGCGCGAGAAGAGGTTCGCCCACAATAGCAGCAGGCCCTCCTGGGCGCCCCCACCTGGGCCAGGAAACAGCTGGAGGAGCTCCGCGGCCAGATCGGCCAGATCTCCGACTGGGCGGAGAGACTCCAGGCGCGACACTAGCTCTCGGAATTAACTTCTTGGGCCATCCCAGTCGTCTTCCAAATTGGCCCGCCGGACTGGGGAGAGCGAGCCGCCCGCCATGGATGGGGGGCTCCTTGCGCGAGGCCAGCGCCGACCTGGCCGCCATGATGCAGATTGAAGAAGCGCGCCATCTGGCAGCCTCGCCGGGCGGGCGAGGCGACCCTCGAGCGTTTCGTCGCGCTGCGCCAGTAGTGGCATGAAAATGCTGCCAAGGAGCAGCGGGGAGCTTTATATTTGTCAGATGTTGCAGTCGCGTCGAGTGGAGTTAGAGCTGGCTGGCACTGGCAGGGGATCCGTCAACTTTGCGCGCCGAGCGCGAGCGGGCCCCTGCGCGGCCCCGGCAGGCCGTCGGCCTTGGAAGGCGTGCCCCCGAAGCCTGACGGGGGAGAACGCGGAGTTGCCCTTCGCAAGTACCCAGCCTAGGGGTCGAGTGGCGCGCCCGGAAAACTGGCCACTTGGGCCAGGCGGCGAGGGGCAGTTCGGCCCTCCAGCGCGCTGTAGGCAGGCTTATCATTGACGAGCCGGCGGAAGCCATCGGTTTCATCATTGGAAGCGTTTTAAGGAGTTTCGCCGAGTTTTGCGATTCTCGACCCTATCACCACCTTGCGGGGAGCTCTGGGCCCGGGGCGCCCAGCCCGCACGGCCGGGCTTTCGCCCGCCCGCGGTAGATACTTTCCCCGCGGCGTCACTTCGCAGCGGGTAGATGATGTCAGCCAGCGAGCCGAAGGCACGGCCACGCACGTTCTCGACGCCCCCCCCGTTGCTGCGTGCCGTTTCTTCTGCGAGGCCTCCGGGAAGGACCTCGGCATTTCCGGCAAGCCGGCGGTCATCGCATCCGCCCTTCCCTTGGCTCGGGGCCTCTCGTCGGCCATGGCTCGGAAAACTGGCGGCAGGTTTCAGCCTGTTCGACCTGGGAACTTGAGGGCTGACCGGGGATCGAATTGCGCGACTAAGCCCAAGCATGCTTTTAGGTTCAAGGCTGCCACGACGCAGTTAGTTCGGGCAAGGAGGCTGCGCCGCCATGGTCGCGTCGCCCAGGCCAGGAAGAAAACCGCGCCGGTGTCTCCTTTCCTTCGCGTCGCGCACGGAACGTCGTCGTCGGGAGTCGCCCCCTCCCTGCTCCTCAGGATCTCAAGGGCCATGCCGAGTAAGATCGGCGGAGTTCACCGTGGCCGACGTGTTACCGCCTACCTCTGTCTGGAGTTGGTCGACGGGGCCCCGTGCGTGAGCACCCCTTTTGCGCCAGGCCGAGACCAAGTTTCTGTGTGCCATTGACCCAGGGAGGTCGTCTCAGGTCCGTGCCCGTCTCCAAACCTCGTGGCCCATCGTGGTTCGGCGCCTGCTCGGGATCTCTCCTCGGCGTCGTTGGTCGGGGATCCGAGGTCCGATATCTGCGTTTATAGCCGTCCTTCGTGATGCGGAATGGGTGTCGCGTGAGGATGGCGTTTTCATTTGGAGTTCGCCCAAACGCGAGGATGGGCAGATAGCTCTCACACCCCCTGGTGTCCACGTCGAATGCGAGTCATTCCTAGGTTAGCCCCGTGAGTCATTGGGCGCGCGCCGCTGGCAGACAGCTAGCCAGCACCATAACGAGGGGGGGCTGGAGGCGGGGGGGATACTCTCACGCAGCGTCGGCTTTTGCAGCAGTTGAGAAAGTCTTCCATTGCCGCGGTTCTGAGGTACCGCAGCAGCCTTGAAGCAAGTCACTGTGCCAGCGCATGGGGCAAAGGCAGTCTTGCCAAGGTTGGCTTGGCTCCGCCAGACGGAGCCGCGCGTGCCAGGTGTGATCTGGGTGTGGCCCCAGAGACGGACCTCCATCGAGTATGGGTTTGCCTAGGAAGCGCGTCCATCGAGCAGCGTAGGCAGTCGAGCCACTTGCATGAACGCGCAGTCTCTGCAGCCGATCATACCCCCTACTAGTGGGTCAGGTGCATGGCCCCCCGAGCTTGGACGGCAGCGCCGCCGCCAGCTGACGAGCTTAACCCTTGTGACTGGGCGCGTGGCATCGGGCAGCCCGCCCACCCTCACGGCGACGAGTTCCGGGGGGCGGGGGGCGGGGCGGGGGGGGGCTTTTAGTTTCGACCCCCGCGTCAGGCGTTGCGGTCGGGCCATGTCCACTTGGCTTCCGCCGCCGCCGCCCCCGACGTCGGCCCCCTTGGGGACATCGCTGGCAAGGGCGGAACTCCCCCTTGGAAGGCCAAGGCGGTCAACTGAGCCGAGCTTACGGCCATGGCCCAGTGGCTGATGGCCCACGGAGGGCCCGATCGCCGCTGCCATTATAGAACTGACTCCAGCTATGCAGTTAAAGGCATGCACAGAGGCCCCAGCAAGATGCCGAGGCGGAACCCCGACCTCTAGTGCGAGTTCCGGGGCCTCCCACGCCACCAGTTGGAAGGCTTCAAGCTCCACCCACGTGATCGCCAAGGTGGCAGCGGACCGCGCTGCCAGCTGTCGATGGCAGACGCGGAGCGCCTGACCCAAGTCTGAGCCGACCGAGGCCGCGTTGGGTCGCCACCGCCTGGCGACGGTGATGGAACACTGCTCCAGGGTCGACGCCCGAGAGCGGGGTGATCGCGAGCGTGCTCCACCGCTGCCCCGCCTCACCAGCCTCCAGCGCGCCATGCTTGCTTCCCGCCACACCATGAAGATGGGGAAGGCGTTCGCGGCACCTGGCGGCTGCGCTGCGCTGTGCGACTGTCGGGGACGGGGAGGCCGCAAGGAAATCAAAGCCTGGCTGGATTCCCCTTGCTTGGGCGGGGGGCACACGACAGGCGTGGCGACCCCCGAGGCCCACAAGTCTCTGCAGAGCGGGGGTCGGACGCCGCAGGCGACGCATGGCGTTGGGGCCCACTCAGGTATCCCGATCCTGTACTGCGCCTGTTGTGGGATGGAGACAGCCCGCGAGGAGGAGTGCTGCGGGGGCTTGCCCACCCGCGCCGCTCTCTCGGTAGAGCGGGCCACGCAAACCTCAGGACAATAGCCCGAGGAGCCTCGTCTGCCAACAGCAGCCGCGCGTGAATGGAACGCAGAGCGCGGATTGCTGGGGGGCGGCGGGGGCTTCGACGGGCGATCTAAATGTCTCTCCTCCCTGGACATTGCCCTCCTCCCCCGAGGCTGCGCGCGGTCCTGCTGTTCTTCCTGCTGCTCCTCCTCCTCCTCCTCCTCCTCCTCCTCCTCCTCCTCTTGCTCCTCCTCTTCCTCCTCCTTCTCCTCCGCCTCCTCCTCCTTCCTCCCTCCTCCCTCCTCCTCCCTCTTGTCTCCTCCCTCCTCCTGCCTCCCTCCTCTCTGTCCCTCCTCCTCCCTCTTCGCATTCGTTCTGGAGGCGAGGGGGAGGCCCTCTGTCGCAAGCCGCCCCGCCGCAGATCATCGCCCTGCCCACAGAGACGCTCGCGGAGCTGCACTCGGAGGTGCCTCCTGGGATCCTCCTCATGGTCCTCCTCCCGCCTCCCTCCTGCATCCTTTTTCTTCTCCTCCTCCTCCTCCTCCTCCTCCTCCTTCTCCTTCTCCTCCTCCTCATCCTCATCCTCTTCCGCTTCCTCCTCCGCGTCTTCCTCCTCCTCCTCCTCCTCCTCCTCCTCCTCCTCCTCTTCCTCCTGGTCCTCGTTTGCTTCCTCCTCCGCTTCTTCTTCTTCTTCTTCTTCCTCCTCCTCCTCCTCCTCCTCGTTCTCCTCCTCCTCCTCCTGCTCCTCCTCCTCCTCGTCCTCCTCCTCCTCTTCCTCCTCTTCGTGTTCTCCCGCGTTCTCCTCATCAACGCCCCCCGACCTCGCGCGGGGCGTTCATTGTGGAACCGCTGGGGGGCGAATCGATGCATATGCAACCTCTGCCGGCCGCCAGTCCTGGGAAGCTCGGGGCAAAGGATCAGAAGGGTGAGGAGCAGGAACGCCAGGTTTGGGGCTTGGTGTCCGGCGTTTCGTATTTCGGGGTTGGTGTTTAGTATTTGGGGTTTAGTGTTTGGTGTTTGGTGTTTTTTGTTTGGGGTTTGGGGTTTGGGGTTCGGTGTGTGGTGTTTGATGTGTTGGATTTGGGGTTTAGGGTTCGGTGCTTGGTGTTTGGGGTTTTGTGTTTGGTGTTTGGGATTGATGAGTGTCGTTTGCTGTTTGGGGTTTGCTGTTTGGGTTTTGCTGCTTAGGGTTTGGGGTTTGGGTGTGTTGGGGGGGTTCGGGTTTGGTGTTCGGGTTTTCCGTTCAGGGGCCGAAGACTGAGAGTGTCTCACCTGGAGAACCACCCATTTCGCCAGGGGGCAACCGTTTACCTGGAAAGCCATACCTTTCCCCGTAAAGCCAACCTTTTTCCCGCAGAGCCTCTTTGTTTCGGGTGGAGTGGGGAGCAGAGGTGAGGGGAACAAGATTGGGGGGCAAATCGAGAGGACGAGGTGGAGGATGAGGAGAAGGAGGAGGAGATGGATAGGGAAGACGGGGGGAGGAAGAAAACGGAGGAGGGGGGGCCGTTGGAGAAGGAGAGTGAAGAAGATGGGAACGCCGAGTAGAGTGAGGAGGAGGAGGAGGAAGAGGAGGAAGAGAATGGGGAAGCTTTGGAGGAAACCGGAGAGGGCGGATGTGGAGGATGTGGAGGGAGCTTTCATATAATTCAGAATTTTAGCCAGCGCGGGCCCCCAACAGTGTGTTGTGCAATCGATGTGGAGCAATTCTATGTGGTGCGACTTAAGTTGTGCTATCTATGTTGTGTTGTGTATGTGATGCGATCTTCGAGGTACAATATAGGTTGTGCAAATATGTGGTCCAATATATGTAGTGCAGTATTTGTGGTCAGTGATGTGCAATACATATTGTGCAACATGTGTGGTGCGATCCACATGGTTCGATATGTAAAGCAATATCTGCGGTACGATCCATGCTGTGCAATCTATGTTGTGCAAACCAATGCAACGTAAAGAAGTGCAAAGCAAGAAGCAATACAAAGCAATTCAAAGCAATGCAAAGTAACGCGCAGCAATACATGTGGTGCAATCGAACGGCAAC